TTTGGACAATTTGTGCTATTTTTAAATCAAAGCCATCTTTAATCATTTCTATCAATAATATCACTTTTTATTTCAAACAGTGGTTGTAGCACGATTTTACACTACTCTGATATGGACCAGTGATTATTATACAGGTATTTATGCCGGTACTGTGCTGTTATGCAAAACGACGTCGTGCAAGTCCAGCAGCTAAATCGCCTGTGCAGTGCAGAGTAAGTATTATGTTTTTTTTTAGTTATTTGAAATTTGAAAGTTTTTAATGATACTAAAATGTATTCAACTAAAGTGATTTGATGAATGATTATTTTATGAATGTTGTGCATTTCTAATGATTGTGTTACTTTGCTATTTTAAGCAGTTTTTTTTTTAAATTTTTAAAATGTGCGACAATAAAGATTTGATAACACTTACAATAAACCGAAAATGAAAATGTATACTTAATGAAAATGTATTTTTGCATTTTTATTTAGAAGTTCTATCATTTTTCTATTTTCGATTGAATTCCATTGAAAAATTTTGTTGTTCAAAGCTCACAGAAATTGGCCAATTGTTAGTATTCAATTGGGAAAAATTCATCAAACAGAGATATTCTGGAGAAGACATAATTGCTAAAAGGAAATCAACGAGTGGTGTTGAAATAGCATTAATTAAAATATTTTTAACTGACTGCCATAACAACTGCTCCGTTCAATCTCATGGAATATTGAAATTATTTCCAGTACTGAGTCATGAACAGATTTATTAATGAAAAGTTTTTACAAAACTGAATGTTTCATTTTAGAAATAATTATTCTTATCACAAATAAACAATATATATATAAAGAAAAAGAAATTTAAATTAGGATTATAGCTATGTGAAATTGTTACGAAATTGTCTCAGACATTGGGAAAATTTTGTAGCGAGACATAATTGATATGAGATTGGCAAGATTGGATGAATTTGACAATTTGACACCGTTAATGGTGGTATCAGGCGGTAATAATGAAACATCATCTTCACGTAGTCACCGCGTCACGGCGATTATTTCACGAAGTCCACCACCTCCAAGATGTCTGACCAACGGAAAAACGATGATCGTTCCACTGAATTCCGGAAAAGGTTCATTTTGATCAATCCTCATACCAAAAAAAAGAAAAATTGGATTTCAAATATGATTTCAAGTTTTCCGTTACAATTTATTTTGCTTTAAAAAGTTATTGTTGGATTAATTTATTTCAACATCTTTAAATACTAACTTCGCCATATGAAATTAGCATTAATTTCTGTTTGGATTAATAATAATAACCAATTGATTTCTAACAAATTTCATCAAATCTAAAGTCGCTGTAATTACTTTGCTAATTGTTTTTAATTTCTTTTAAATTAAATCTTCCTTTTCTGTAGTTGCTAAAAAAAGCGGAAGGGATTGGAATGGAATTGGAGTGATTTAAATCAAAAAGGCTATTGCAACCGCAAATTTCTTTTGTGAAAATGATTCATTAGAATGAAAGATAAAGTCGCAATGAATCCTTATGAAATAACGTAATTTGATCACAAATCCTTGGAAAGAGTGAGAGAGATATTATTTCATTCTCTTCTTACGCATATCAAAATCTTTCGTCAAATAATTTTCAGAAATTGAAAAATTAAAATAATTATTTTGCTGTAAATTTTAAAATGACAGGTTATTTCTAACTTAATAATGTAGTTTGTAAGTATCTGAATAAAAATAAATTGTAAGAATATGAGTAAGACTGTAAAAAATATCTCACTGATTTCTATTTTTAAAAATTTCAGAATGAAAATGTTTGTTGAGTGATACAAACGATGGTTTAACTGTAAAAAGGAAATTTAGCCTCTGATTTGAGGCATTTATTAGACAGATCTATGATATAGCAGAAAATGAATTTTATTTAACAGATCATTTTTTGACCCAAAAAAAATTTTCAGGATGTGCACCATTTGCACCATTGCTTGGTACACCTGACAGTAAAGGTACATCATTCGAGAATGATATCACAAAAGGTTGCAGTGCGATAATGGAAGATAATGAAAATGCACCGATATCCTCAAACCTTGATAAATTTGATGCAGATTTTATTTCCATTGATCGAGTTTGTTTATCAAAAGTATTTCAAAGCCATAAAGTTCATTAATTTGACCAATGGACAAATTTTGCTTCGGTTTCAGACTACTGCATCATATTTAGAACCGAGACAGCAAAGACATCAGCAGTGTGAATGTGGCATACCAAAGCCGGATAAAATGCCCAGCTTTGAGGTACAATTGAATTTAGCAAATTCTTGAAAACTACTAATTTCTTTACATCTTTTTTTACTTGATCTAATTTCAGTTGCCGGCTCCGAGTTATGCGCCACCATCATTACCAACACTCTTAGTCCATTCACCACGGTGTGAGTGCTATATAATTTCTTTATTTTTTATTTATTTATATACTTCCCTATAGTTTTTGTTAATTTAACAAATTTGTTCAATGGATGTGATTAGAGATAGACTTATGATGCTTCTTTCTTTCGTCAATTTCTTGACCAAATCAATGCAAATTAGATTATCTAGTCGGTACTGACCACTAAACTCCTGCATTTTTCCTTCTTTGCAACGTAAAGATACCTTCGTTGCCAAAGATGTAATTATTAAATGTAGCTAATTGTTCCAGTTATTTTTGCATAAACAATTAAACAATGAGAAAATCTACGGACAGAATTAGAAAAATATTCAGTAATTTCAGTTAATTTACGACAAGAATTGTCAGCGGTTATTGAAACCAACAACAGTTTTGATATTAATAATGACGCAAAGGCGACGAAAAGTCCAAGCATTAATTCAGTGAACTCACTTGGCAGGTCTGCTATTTTATGCAAAAATTTTTCGCTTGCGTAGGCTTGCCTTCATCCCTTTTTAAAACAGGCCTTTTTTGCATATATATCAGAGTAAAATAAAACATATTATAATCTTAGTTTTTTAAATTATAAAATTTTATCATTGTTGAACAGTGAAACATATTACAGCCCGCAAGACTCATCGTTCAGCATGGGGTCACCGTTGGACACAAGTGCTTCAATTAGTGGTAGTTTTTGTGCTGCCGGTGAAGGGGAGATGAATATGAGTGAAAAGGGGCGAGTTTACTCTCTTGAAACAGGTAAGTTTAAAAATATTTAAAAAAAGGCCATACAAGAAGGAAGAGATAAAACTTGTAAAACTATGTGCTAAATTTTATTCAGAAATGCGGAGAGGTAATAATTGTTGAAGATTTCCGTCTGGTATAAAGTAGGATTTAATGTAATTTTTAATTTGAATTCAAAAAAAGCAGAATTTTCAAAAAAAAATTTAGATAAAAATGTAAAATGCAAACTTCAAAATATTTCAGGGTTACAGCAACGAATTGATATGGAAATTTACGGATTTTCTCCAGAACTAGATTACTCAATATCTGATCCAGATTCACAGCAGAAATATATTCTTCATCGGTGAGTTATTAAAATTATTCATCTGTTCACTCTACCTCTAATTAATTAATTAATTACTAAAAGTTACAAATAAGCAAATTATAAAATGGAACTCCATTAAAAATTTGTCATTTTTGCATCCCTACTTGATTGATATTTGTTTGAAATTTATTTTTTCTTATGCAAATATTATATTAGCAAAAAGTTAAATGATCACAATCTTTTTGTCGAATTAATTGCCGAATTTTTAGGATAGAAGAAGAATCGGAGCAAAATGGAGATATTGAAACAGCCGGTATAGTGACAAGTCGAACTCTTGATTCAATCAAATCAGCCTTCTCACATTCAAATCAAGTTGATTCGCAATGCAACATTATTATTCCGCATTCTATTTCTCAACAGGTAAAATTTTAAACTTCAATCTCAAACAATTAGAATTTTAAAAGAAATTGAATTTCAGTAAGTATTCCGATAACGCTTTTGCATATAGAAAGCTTAACAGTATTTCTTATGTGTAAATTTTAAAAATTAGAAAACGAAACTAAATTTAATTAATTTGTAAATTTTAATGATGTACAAACGCTATGAAAGACTGCTTCATTCTGTCAATTTATTATAAGTTTCAGTTTGAATTGATGAACCTTCGTGAATGCCTGTAATGAAACAAACTGGTGCTATGTCATCTCGATCTGTTTCTCAAACAACATAATTATTTACTTAAAATGAAAATCAAAGTTATTCAGAAATGGAATGACGATTCAAATTATACATCCACTTCATATCATAAAAACTGACAATCTAAAAATGTATCAACTAATAAGATGAAATGAATTAGTTAAGAAATAAATTTTAGTTGGAAAGATTTACAGTGTTGCGAGTTGTATTGATAAAACTTACAACACATAATAATTTGCCATGTGGATAAATTTCAGTGAAATTGAAATGAAATAAATTATCTACTTTGAACTAACCTTAATTCTCATAAAATAAACTTAGTCATTTCTGATGGCTAAAAAAAGAAACTAAAAGAAATTTTCACATTGTGATGTTGTGGAATTGAAAAATCAACAAGAAAATGATTTAGTTTACTACTACGTCATACCAAATATCAATCCGTAGAACTGAATATAAGCTTATTAGTACAAGTAAATGAAATAAGTGTGATTCAGATGTCCCGTGAACTGTGCACGTTTTTATTTAAAACAGAAATCGCAGCAATAGTATATTCTCTATCAAATTCCACATTTCCAGAAAACTTATTCAGATTTTCTGAGATATTTAAGTTTTAAGGATTGAACTGTTTAAGTTTATTACCTTTAATGAGCGATGAATATTTGATATTGAACATACTGATAGTTATCGCAGTAGCGTACGTAATTTATCAAATATGCAAAATTTGATTTCATCTATAAAATTACTGTTTTAGACCTTAAATAATCGTTGATGACAGAGTATTATTTCCAAACAAATAAACCAATGAAATTAGATAATGATAGCAAAAATAAAAAAGAATTTGGAGTGAAGAATGAAAATAGATAAAAGCATTTACTATATTTTACCAATTCTCTCACTAGTTCTTAATATACGAAAAGTGAGATCTCATTCCTTCATTTTGTACAAGTATCGAAATCTGAAATTAATCCATAATGCAAATTATCACTTAAATTCACGAAGAAATATTTTTTAATAAAAATAAAATTATTTTGATACAAAGAATTTCATAAAAATGTGACTTAAACACCGGAAATAAATTTTTGGATGAATTATAATCATTGTTTATAATCCAAATTTAGAATTTACTTGGATTAATCAATCAATTTTATCTTAAGAAAATTAGTTTTTGTAGAGTATTATAATTTTTATTTATTATAATCTTTGATGTTCAAAATAGA